GGCGGCGTACACCTACCGGGACGGGAAAATCCTGCAACTGTGCGGTGAGGGCTCCGCAAAGCTGAACCCGGAGGGGTGGGGCGCGGCCCCGGGCGGGAGGGTGGATCGGGGGCGGTGCAGCCTTGGGGAGTCTAAGGGCTGTCTCTGATCCGCGCCCCGCCGGTGCAGGGGAGCTCTACGACCTGGACGCCTCTTCCCTGCAGCTGAAAGTCCTCCAATACGTGAGTCCCTATGTCCCTCCTCCCCCTGTTCAAGACCAACTTAGTCTTGAACGCTCCATCTCGGGTCAGATTCCGACGTCCCGCCCCTTCTCTCTCTTCCACCCACCTGAGGACCCTCAGAAGGCGAGAGGGTGGGAGTGGGGGTGGTCCAGATCCCCTGTCAGCGCCCCTCCCCCCGTCCCTCCCTTTCAGCTGCAGCAGGAGACTCATGCATCCCGCTGCTGCCTCCTGCTGGTGTCCGAGGACAATCTACAGCTCTCCTGTAAGGTGAGGGCCCAGGTCCCCGGTGGGACAGGGAGAGGGACCTCGGTGTCCGAGGAGAAAAACCTTGTTTATCTTTTAACGGGTCTCCTCCTCTCTGTCCCTCAGGTCATCGGAGATAAAGTGCTGGAGGAAGATGTCAGCTTTCCGGTGAGTCTGCATTGTCCCCTGTGTTGGAGTCTGCAGGAGCAATTAAGGCAAACTAGGTGCACCTGGGATCTACACAGAGCAACTGGGATCTGCTAGAATCATTTGGAATCTGATGGAATTATTTGGATTTTGGGATCTACTTAGAAATGTTATGAGAGCTCACAACATCTCTTGATCAGGATCCACTAGGAGAAATCACATACATTCTACAGAAAGGTTTACTTGGGACCAGTTCACTTCTGTTGGGGTGTGTCTGGGTTTGGTTCTCTTAGAATCTATTGAGATCAATGAGAATCTTGGAGTCTGCTTTTCTCTCTCCTAGTTAGGGGAGACCCTAAAGTCTTCCATAGAGCATTCTGGTCAGGAGCAGAACACTGTTCCCTCCTTTCTCAGTGTTGACTCAATCTGCCATTTGAAAAGGTTTTTGAAACTTCCAGACTTTGGAAGGAGGGTTGGGGTCTGAGATTGCATGACCCCAGGCCAAGCTGTACCCTGACTCAGCCTCTCCCCAATCCACAGTTGACGATGGGACGCCTGGGCCAGGTGATGGAAGACAAGGAGTCTATCCAGCTGAAAGATCTCACCTCAGTAAGCTATGGTCTGGCCGGACCAGGGGAGGAGGCAAAGGGAGAACGCGGCATCCAATCCCCAGAGCCAGGGTCTCTGGGACCGGGCAGCCTAGGAATGCTGGAGACAAGACGCAGGGACTTTCTTCCAATCCACCCCATGCCATAGCACTTCCCACCCTGCAGGAGTTTCTGAGAGCCACCTGTTGCAGATGGCAGCAGGCTGGGGGAGGGACGCTTACTCTCTCTCTCCTCTCCTGCCCTGACTCACCTCCCCTTTGCAGGAGGATGTGCGACAGCTGCAAAACATGTTGGGCTGTGAGCTGCAGACCATGCTCTGTGTCCCTGTCATCAGCCGGGCCACGGACCAGGTGGTGGCCTTGGCCTGTGCCTTCAACAAGCTCGGAGGAGACTCGTGAGTCTGGGTGGGGTGCTGTGGATCAGGAGGTGAGCCTGAACAGGGTTCTACTAGGGTAACAGTGCTGGAGGGGTACTAAACAGGGGGGACTATTCCAGCAGTGGTGGACTGAATGGCTTCACAGTGCAAGAGACCATGGGTTTATGAGGGCCCTAGGCTCTTGCATCTGCTGTGGCCGAGGCACAGGTAATTGTTGACCCTCCATCACCCATTTTAGCTTATTTAAAATCATGTTGAGGTCCAAGTGAGCTTCCCTCTCTTTGCCCACTTCCTGTAGTTGGGATTATCCACTATTAGGGTATTGGCCTTCCCCCCACTTGCCATCCCCAGTTTGGCATTTCCTGGTGGAGGGGCAGCGAGCTCTGGGATGGTGAACTCTCTGGGACCTGCAGAATATCACTGACACAGTGGACAATGGCTGAAGGGAATACGGGCTCGGGGGCCAGGCTAAGCTGAGGGTCTTTGTAGGCACTGAAAGGGCAGCTGTAAAAATTATACAAAACAGAGTGGTGGGCAGGACTCAGAGTCAGGTAAGCAGGCTTAGTTAAGAAAAATGTCTCAGGATCTGAGATCAGATTTAGGGTCTAAGAGTGGTACCATAAATAGGTTTTATGTCCTATCCCAACTCATTAAGTGGCAGTAGCTGCCTGAAGTATTGTGTTGAGACTGGATCTAATTGATTAGCTATGTCCTTCCTGGGAGTAGGTTCAGGATGTGAATGCTGCCATACTTGGTCCAGCAGGTCTAGCAGTTTGGGATGAGTCATACAGATAGGGAGGAGCAGGCAAGTGAAGGGTTGAGTCCTGATTCCAGGATGCAGAGAGATGCTGACAAGATGCTTGGCCCCTGAAGCTCAAGCAGACAGTCTGGGTTTGAGGACCTAGAGCTCCTGCAGGAAGTGGAGACTGGGGATGTTAGGACTAGAGAGGTGTTAGAAGCCCAGGGATGGGGTCTGCAGGGGTGGGCAGAGATCTGGGAGTCATAGGTCTGTGTAGCAATAACTTCCAACATGGAACTCTGTAGGCAGTTGGGTGGACCCGGGGAAATGACAACAGGAAGATGTGGGATCTGTGTCATTTGGTGCAGGTAGGCATCCTACTGGTGGGAGAATTTATGCCATTCAATAAACACACATTGAGCACGTACTGTGTCCAGCTGTGTGCTGCTGACCAGATGGCCTTGGAAAGGCCTTTGGGGAGAGGAGTGCAGAGTAAGTGGGGGTCCAGCAGGGGCTGTGACCTCTGGCTGCTGGTTGTGGGACTGGGTTCTGAGATGGCCCTAGACCTAGAGGAGAGGTGGTATCAGAAGGTAAATGAGATGGGGCCTTGGTGACAGTCCTGAGGCCCAGGGAAGGGGCAGGTCCATCTCTGGGTTCCGCATATTTCAGAGAGTGAGTGCTGAATGATTGCATGAGCCAAGGTGGGATTCAGTTCATAGCACTGACTGCAGTGCTGCCTGAAACTCAGAGAGCAGGGACTCCAGAATTCCTTCAGCTGGGAGTGTAGTGGGGCTGGTGGCCAGGGCAGGAGCAGAGTACAGTTAAGATATTTAGCAAACACTTCCCAATATTTCCCCTGTGCCAGGCTCTGCATCAGGCATGGTGTGATACAGTTATGGTCCCTGCCTTCAAGACTTAAAGGTTATTTTCAGGGCATAGAGGGAGGTGGGTGGAAAAAGTATTCTAGGCAGAGGGAACAGTTTAAGGAAAAGCACAAAGGTGTGAAGGAACTGGAGAGATGCCCAAAGATGAGGGGAGAGTCTAGGGAGAGTAGAACAGTGACAAAACAGGGCAATGCTACCCCCATCCCTGAGCCTGGGGGAGCCTCTGGGGAGGAGCAGGAAAACACCCAGCTCTGTCCTGGGCAAGTCTCCAGTCTGAGGGAGGAGACCCAGCCTTAGTCTTGGTAAGTATGAGGTCAGAGGAGGGAGACATGGCTGGGCTTCAAGAAGAAATAGTCTGAGGAGGAAAACACATTTTGGTCTAAGAAGAATTAGAGCCCTCCCCTCAGGGAGCCTCCAGTCTGAGGAAGAAGCTGCCCCAAGCCACCTGTGCAGTGAGCAGCCCCAGTAGAGGAGAGTGATGGTTAGCCGGTGGATCTCTGAGTGGGCTTCCTGGAGGAATGGAAGTGAAAAGAAATGGGGGGAAAATCTGTTGGCAGCTCCCTCTCTCATGACCTCACCTCTCTCCCCAGATTCACCGACCAGGACAAACATGTGATCCAGCATTGCTTTCACTACACCAGCACGGTGCTCACCAGCACCCTGGCATTCCAGAAGGAGCAGAAGCTCAAGTGTGAGTGCCAGGTGAGTGGCCTGCCTTGCACCTTTCTCAGGGACAAAGTCACCTGGCTCTCAGCCCCAGCGATTCATCCACAAGGGAAAAGCCCATGTCTATCTGGACCATGGCAGGGGGATTGCCTAGCGCTCTGGAGGCCTCTTAAAGGTCACTAGTTGCTCAGAACAGCGGCTGGCTGCAGGCACTGGATGCGATCACCCTCTAGTGTTCAACTTCGGTACTACAGCAACATCTGGGTGGCTGGAGGCACAGGTGAATGCACATCTGAGACACTAGATTTCTATACACATTCACTGGGGCAATTCCTCCTCACTCCTTCACTTAGTAGTCAAATGACATAATTAGACTCTTCCAGTCTCTAGCATGTGTGGAGAGCTCTAGGAGAGGAATGAAAAGCTCCCAGGGATGTTGGAGGCAGGGACTTGGAGAGGGTCACCTTCTTTCTGTAACCTGAACCCCTATGATCTCTGTTTTCTCCATTCCAGGCTCTTCTTCAAGTGGCAAAGAACCTCTTCACTCACCTGGGTGAGTGCACTGTTCTTCTTCATGCCTGACTGTGGGGTGGGAGTGGGGGCTGAAGTTTTGGGGAGGAGAGGTGTGAGGGCTTGGCCTTGGCATTCCAGCCCAGCCTCACCACTGCCCCCCACGCTTCTCCCTCCCACAGATGACGTCTCTGTCCTGCTCCAGGAGATCATCACAGAGGCCAGAAACCTCAGCAATGCTGAGATGTGAGTGAACTTACCCCTGAGAGGGGGGAGAGAGAGGTCCCAGGCTCAACCTCATCCTCTCCTTTCCTTCCTTTCCCAAATCTCCACTGCCTTCTTGTGGGACCCCATCATGTCTTGTGTGACCCCTTACTTCATGCCTGTGATCATCGCTAGAATGTAGCGTCCAGTGACAGCAGAAGAGGGGCTTGCTTTGCTGGCCATGGGTCCCCAACTCCTAATTACAAGGTGTGGAACAGAGTAGGTGCTACAAAAAATAAAAATAATCATTGGGCTGAACTAATGTCTGGAGTCAGCCAACCCTGAGAAGAGTCTTTCACCGCAGATCACTCCTTCCGGGCCTTGGAAATCCGGGCTTTGCCTCAGGTTGTGAGAAGTGGGGGTGGTTGGAGAGGGGTGTCAGGGCCCTGTGGACCAAGGCCATCTCCCCACAGCTGCTCCGTGTTCCTGCTGGATCAAAATGAGCTGGTGGCCAAGGTGTTCGACGGGGGCGTTGTGGAGGACGAGGTGAGGCAGGGCCCTGCAGAGAGTTTGCCGTGGTCCCGGGGAGGGGAGGGGAGGGGCCCGCTCCGTGGACAGTCACTAACTTTTTCTTCCCACCCTGTGCCTGCCGGGGCAGAGCTATGAGATACGCATCCCGGCCGATCAGGGCATAGCGGGCCACGTGGCGACTACAGGCCAGATCCTGAACATCCCGGACGCATACGCGCACCCGCTTTTCTACCGCGGTGTGGACGACAGCACGGGTTTCCGCACGCGCAACATCCTCTGCTTCCCCATCAAGAACGAGAACAAGGGTGCGGGATCCCCGCGGCGGGGCAGAACCGGGCCAGGCCGGGGCGGGGCGGAGCAGGATGGGGCGGAACCGAGCTGAGGGGTTGGCACCCCCCCCCCACCCCCGCTTTAGCGCTCTAGCGTCCCCTAGCGGAAGGCACAGGTTTCCCAGGCATAGGACGTCCCTTGAGGACAAAGGGGGGAAAGGCAGATCCCCGCCCCGTCCCCCCCACACACACATCCACCGGCCGGTCCTAGCCCCTCTCCCGCCCCCAGAGGTCATCGGTGTGGCCGAGCTGGTGAACAAGATCAATGGACCATGGTTCAGCAAGTTCGATGAGGACCTGGCCACGGCCTTCTCCATCTACTGCGGCATCAGCATCGCCCATGTGAGTGGCGACAGGGGCGGGGCCAGGGCAGGACCCTCCACCTTCTCTCCACGTTGGCTCTCCTTGCTCTGTCCCGCCTGGGACTCAGAGCCCCGCTGCTGGGCTGCTCTGCAACCTTCTGCACCGCTGGTCACTTCTGGCCTCAGCTTCCCATCTGAAGATTTACTGTTTCTTGTCCTATCCCGTTAGCTTCTCAGACCACGGGGAACCCCTGTTGTTATTCACCCGCCCCGCCCCCCGCCCCCTTCCTCTGGAAGCAACCTCAAACCAAGCCCCTGATCAACTTCTTTTTGGGAAATGTTGGGTCTCATTGTCCACAGCTGGCAGCTCTGCCATGGGACTCCAACCCACTGGTCCCTGACACTATCCCCCCTCCTTGCTTTTCCTCTGCGGTGGCCTGGGGCCCCATCACTGGGGACAAGGGCAGCCTGGGGAGGAGAGGTGAAGTGCCAGATCAAATGCTGAGAGATCCTAGGAGGCGGAGCAAGGGGAGGCCTAGATGAAGGCTGGATGGGGCTTCTGGCTCTGGGCTGCAGCTCGGGCTGGGACCAGCACAGGAGGCTCTACCTGACCCCTCTGTCCAGTCTCGGTATTCTGAGATGCCGCAGCCACCATGCTTGAGCTCCCTTCTTCCCTTTTCTTCCCCCAGTCCCTCCTTTACAAGAAAGTGAATGAGGCCCAGTATCGCAGCCACCTCGCCAATGAGATGATGATGTACCACATGAAGGTGAGGCTTGCACGGAGCTTCTGCCCTTCTTCCCAGGGTCCCAAGGTCCCCAGCCCCCCCCCCCC